ATTTTAAATATGTAATTCAAGTAAAAATTGGATCTCATAAATTCAAAACAGTAAAATTGTAAAAGTCATAGTAAACTAGTAAAATTATGAAATAGGATAAAATTAGATAAAATCAAGATTTTACAAATTTAAAAAATTTTATAAATTTGCATTATAATATGATTAATAATCACTAATAATGTATAAGTGGAGTTGTGCTTGTTTATTATTTGAGTTGCTTGGTGGTGGTTTGAATCTTGGCCATGTAACTTGACATTTTTGGGTTTTCAAGCAAAAATTTTAAAGTTTTTGTCAATTTTTGTAAGTTAAACTAACAATATTTTATTATGAAAAATTTTTAGGTCAAAATTATTTAAATTTAAAACAATTTAATAACTATAAAATAAAAAATTATTGAAAAAAAATAAAAATAATTAATTAATAATTATACTTTTTATATAAATTTTAAATTTAAACATTTGATATTAAATTTTAATAATATATAAATTTGATTTTATAATTTCAATTTTGCTTTATCACTTATCAAAACAATCTTATTTAAACTCTAGATTTTGACGAAAGGAACGGCTTGTCAATCCCTTTTATACAATAAATTAGTGAAAGGACTTCCATTACCTAAAGAAAAATAAGAAAAAATATGTTACAGCTGAGGAGCGTCAAAACCTACCGAGCTCTTAGCGAGAAAAACAAGTGGTTGTAATAATTAATGGATAAACGATCTAATTCTCTGAGTAAAAAGAAACTCATTTTTTTTTTTAATAAAATCTCAAATTTGAGCCGTATGAATAAAAAAATACATATTTAAAAAGTTTTCTCTAATAAAATTTGACGCTACTTAATTTTAAATTAATCAAGATCCAATATGATTACTAAATATCAAAAAATAAATAAATAATAATAATAATAATAATTAATGGATACTCTCCTGTTGTGAGTAAGCATTTTGATGTACATGTATTAATAAAACAAACATATCGGAGAGATGCCTGGTTTAACATTCTACCTAAATCTTCTTTTGGAATTCTTCTGGTGAGAACTCTCCGGAGTACGGCTGTCTAGCTTGCGTTTTACACCAGCTTGTTTTAGACCACCTGCTTTTGCCTTTGCCTTTCTTGCTGCAACTGCAGGCCTTTTTGTCATCCTGTCCTGTGATTTCTCGCCACTGGAGGTAGTAAATTTTGTTTTTATGGATCTGTTGCCTTTTGAATGAACTTTCTTGTTGACATCTGATTTGCTTGCGCGCAAACCCTGGTATGACATAGAAGCTTTTGTATTTGATTTGTTCTTATTGTCTGAGGAAGTCCTTGAATCCACCACAAACTTCTTGGCTGGGGAATTAGCAATTTCTCTGCCTGATGAGTCCTTTCTCTTGGATGGAGTTGAATCTGTTCTGGCATGATACAGCCGTAGTTCTCTATCCCTAAGCTTCAGAGTTCGTTTCTTAACAACCATATTTGCAGCTTCCTGCGTCCATAACAGAGATCAAAACCAGTAAGACAATTAGACAGGGAAAACGAACAAGAGAGTTTTCCTTAACTGTCTAACACCATAGGATCCCTTCCCCCACACATTTCTACCTAAACTAGTTTATATGCTAAAGATTACATCATCATTTAAGCTAACCTTGCTTCTTAATAATATAAGGAGAACAGCAGAAAGAATCAAATTTTATCTCAACGGGAAAAAAGAAAAAGAAAAAGAAAAAGTGTAACCTGAGTAAATGAATATCTGAAATATCTTAGGCTTTCACATACCAGAGACCATCATAGGCCAATCAACAAATTGGGGTATAAGTGACATAAAAGTCATATTTACCCAACAGAAAATGGAAACAAGGACGCTTCAACAAATCCATATTAAAAAATTGAAACATGTTCCAAGAAAATCCTAAATGCTGATGAACTGTTAAATGAAGTAATGAACAATAAAAGAGAAATGAGAAAAGACTAGAAATACCCTTGTTTTGAACAAGACGTAGGCAATACCCTTGCTCATACCATACTGAGGATCTCTAATTACACGGACAGCTTCAACACTGGATTCCAAATTATTTATATTGCAAAATAGCTGATAAATTTCTTCATCCTGTGGAGAACAATCAGAGCTTATAAGTGAAAAGGTCAACAATAGTAAACATGGATTGGAGTCATATAAATATCACAATTTGCCGTTCAAAAAATATATATATATATATCACGATTCGTGTGCAATTGATCACCTTCACATCAAACGGCAGGTTACCAACAAACACAGTCCTCTTGTTGTCATAAAGTACAGCATTCTCCCTCTTTAACTTCTTCCTTGGTGGGCATGCCCTATCAACACGGATGTGATTTCCTGCAACCTTTATCCCCAGATTGCAAACATGTAATAGGGTCAACACATAAGAGCAACATGTTAGACATTGCAAGTTCTCTAAAAAGGCCAAAGAAAGGAACTTTCAAAATTAATTGACTGGATTGGGAAGAACAACATACCACAGTCATGTTATGGGCTAAGGAAGCCTCAGCAGATTGCTCTGTTTTGAAAACAATGTATGCATTAACACTGCAACAAGGTAACATTGGTCATCATCAAACTTAACAAAGGATCGGAAGGGGCCAGTGTGTGGAATGGTGGATACACAAAAATATAGTAATCAACTACTCTAGCTCAAGCATAAAAAGCACGCATAACCTTAAGAAGCTAAAAGTAAACAAAAATATCTAGCATATGCTTTAACAACATACCTGTCAGCTTTTTCATTAATTTTCTTCTGTATTATAGCTCCCTTTCTTGGCTTCTTGGTCTAATCCACCAAAAAAAATGAAGAAAAAGGAAAAGTGAGAACATGTTAAATGGTAAACAAGACAGCATCAAGTTGAAAAGGAAAACAGATACGGAACAAAAATGCTACATAGCAAAAATCACAAATACTCACATCACTGAGTGGAACGGACCGAATCCTCACAGACTCAACCTCACCAAATTTACTGAATTCCTTCATCAACATCTTCTTTTTCACTTTCAGATGTAAATTCCCTACAAATACGGTCCTTAAAAGCTTATTCTCATCATCGAACCCTTCCTTAGGAACCAACATATCCACCCCATCATCATCTGCCTTCTTCCTCTTCTTTCCTGCAACTTTCCCTCCAAGTCCTCCTTCATCCTCTGCTGGCGCCGTCCCATATTTCTTCACCTCATACTC